TAACTGGCCTATAGTTTTATTGTTTCATCCTCAGATTTCAGTATCAGCATTCTGTTAAGTTTTTGAAATGAATGGGGAAGCTCCCCCACTGACTCCGCCAATATTATGGAACTAAGTAGTATACAAAGTGTCGGCATCAAAGTTTGATATCATTCGCTTGTAAGTTTGTCTAGCCACAGAGTCTCTTTGGAAGTAGACCTATCGAAAACTTTTCAGTATCTTTCAGGATTATTGGTATACGTAGCTTTTCTTCTTAAGTCAGTGTGAGTAATTTATATTTTTTGATTTCATTGAAATTTTCAGATGTATTAATGTACGGTTGTGTGTCATATTCTTAAAATGTTTTGAATTCTACGTGTGTCCCTTGTTTTAGGAAATTTAAAAAGGTTTTGTCTATTTGGTAGGTTGATTCTCTTTTTCGAAGAACACGCTCTTGGATTTATTTATAAATTCTCCCATTTTTCTGTTCTCTGTGATTACTTTCTGATGAACAGCAGCCACCCTAGATCTTTTTGGCTTTACAGAGCCCAGGCTCACCTTTCATGGAGTAGCTATCTTCCTGAAAATTTGCAGTTAGAGACATTTTTATAAAAGGAACTGTGCTTTCCATTGATTTGAGTTTTTATTTCACAGGTATTTTATTTTCATTTCTTTAATCTTCAGTGACAAGCAGTTAATGTTTCTCTAAGTAAACTCTGTGACACCAGAGAGCCCTGATATTTAAGCAGATATGGAGCAAATCATTTGAATTGCCGCCTCCAGTTTCTTTTTTCTTTCTTTTTTTATAGTAGGTGTTCTTAAAGTGGGATGCAAATATAGTTGAGCATATTCATCTTTTGTTTGTTCCTTTACATGCCTTTTCTTATCACTTGTCACTAATCCCAGCTTATGAGAAAAGGATATAGCAGCTCATTTATGGATTAATTCTTTTATGTCGTTCATGCAACATACTAACCTGTCATAGGGGACAGGCTTTGTCAATCTGGAGGTAATTTTTCCCACTTGCTTCTGTGATTAGGAGTTTGGTTGCAAGACGGCTGGTTACTTATCTGGTGGCCCCAGTTCAGGGTAGGGAAACAAAGGCTACCAGTCCTGTGTTTGTACAGGTGGCCTATGCCCTTGGAACCAGGTGAGCTGGCTGCCCATGGACAGAACCACTAGGGGCCCTTCAGTTAATACAGCTTTGTGAAAGGACCCAAGTGCAGGGGGCAAGGTCTGGACAGCCTGTCTAGATAGCCAGCATTAATTGTGCTGTGGTGCAGCTAAGACTCCGAGTGTTCTATTTGGCAGGGCTTCGAGTTATATTTGATCTTTTTTTTTCCATGTTACCTATGGCCAGGGTCATAGGAAACCGTCAAGTCGCTGCCTTCCTACTGGAATTCCAAGTCTCCTGGCCCACCCCTTCCTCTCAGGCTTGCACTGGTGTTTTCTTCCTAGATTGACACTGATCCTCAAGGGAGGGGCTTGTTGGCTTCCAGAGAGTCGGCTTTCTTAAAGCCTGTGATTAACCTCTCACAATGACTCGGGACCGGGCCCTGGGCTGGGGGGCATTTGAAGGCAACCCTCAGTGTTAGACTCTACAGCGCCTCACTCCTCAGGCCCCCTGCTCCCCCAGCCTTTGCTCTGTGTTGGGTTAAAGCTTATGGCTTTTTCTTTACTGGAGCGTTTCCATCTTAGTCTGGGGCTTCTGGCTCTCCAGGAAGCCCTAAGGATTCCCATGCAAACTGTGTGCCTGGTGGCCTGCCTCGATAGACCCCAGAATTCCTAAGGAGTCGCAGATGAGCAGCTCTTTCAGGGAGATTTGAAGGTCATTTGTGTGTATATCGCTTTGCATCCTATTTACATATATGATTTGTTTTTGCTTGGGCTATTTCTAAACCACTTTATTATTCCCTGAGTGGGAACTGGAAGAGAAGAGAGAAGGAGCCCACGTACTTCAAGAATCTCATGGAAAAACCAGCACCTTTTCTTCCCTCTTGTGTATGATCATGTACCTGTGCATGTTTGAGAGTTGCTTACTATTAAATCTCTTATCGTTAGAAGCCCATCTTTTCGGCTCCCTTCCCCCACTCTCATTTACTACCACGGTCTGCTATATCCTCCGGCTTCCTAGAGAAATAAAGAATCCATAGGAGCTGATTGGAATTTTTCAAATGCATAGAAACAGCAGGACAGTTGGGCCACGGCTGGGTGTGCATGTACTCGACAGCGGCTTGTATCAGACGAGTGTGTGTGTGTGTGTGTGTGTGTGTGTGTGTGTGTGTTTCCCTCCCCTTCCCTCTAATTACCCCTACCCCACACCAGAATTGATTTCCCATCAAACTGTTGAGGGTGAAAGGGTAGGTAGGTTAGAGGCTTTAAGTGAACGGTTTACCACCACAGCTCATTGGCGAAATGCAAACCCTCTCACTCAGCAGGTGGAATGGGGCTTTGATGTATCCCATTGTTGGGTGGTGGCTGGTGGTGGAGGGCAGGGGAAGAATCAACAGCTGACGTAGTATTGAGGGCTCTTCAGCAGAAACTGCTTAATTTCTCTGCTCTCAGGCAGTTTTGTGGAGCGCTGAATTTGGGGAAGTGGAACCAGGGCACCTAGAAGAAAGGGCTGGCTCTGCCCACAGTCAGGCCCGCATGGTGTGGAGAAAAGTGCTCAGGTAGAGAAGGCTTCTCTCCATTTGCAGCGTCCTCTTGCTTGAGGGAATGTGAGTTATGATGAAATCTCGTTCTTGCCGAAAGGGTGAGGGTGTGGGGTCCTCACCTAAGCAGGATAATCAGAGAAGTTCTGAGGGTCGTCACCCTTCACGGAAAGATCTCCTACTACAGTTTCTCAGCTTCGGTTCTACCAAATTCTACTAAATTTGGTAGAATTCAACCAAACTTTGGTAGAACTCTACCAAATCCTATAGCAATACACTTCAGCTAATTCAAGACGGTCTGAAGACAGAGATCACCGAAGTATCATGAAAGGATCTAAGTTGTAATTTAAATGTACGTCATACAGCATTTGTTTGTGTCAAGAAATCAGAGAAGGGTGATTGGTAGGAATTCTCCAAAAGCTGAGGGAGGGTTTTGGTGTAGAACCATACTGTCCATTGCTATAGCCGCACGTGGCTGATGAGCTCTTGGAATGTGACCGCTTCAAATTGAGATGTGCTGTAAGGATAATGTGTCCATGGAATTTTGAAGAATTAGTAAGAAGAAGGAATGTAAAATAACTCATTAATAATTGTTTAATACTGATTCCATGTTGAAATAATGTTTGGACATATTAGGGTAAATAAAATATTCTAAAATTAATTTCACTTTGAAAAATTATTTTTTTAAAGTGCGGCTACTAGAAACTTTAAAATTATAAATGTGTCTCAGAGAGTATTTCAACTGGACAGCGCCAGACAGGATTTCATCTTAATTCTCATGTCTGCATACGATTCCTTTTTCCCACTAGAGGGAGGTGTGTCCTGATTTGGGGGAGTCAGCTGCTCAGCTTGTAAACTTCACTGCTTTGGAATGTACCCTTTTAAAAAAGAAGCACTCAAGTTTTTGCTTTGTTTCAATGCTGCATAATTCTGTTGTTTCTGGGGGTTGCACTTTGTAGGAAAGTGAAGCCAAAACAGAGGAGGCAGGAAAGCAGAGAGGTTTCCCCCCTTGTTTTTGTTAGCGTTCAGAGAGACCTGTTACTTTGTTGGATTGTAGTAGCTTGCTGCTTGTTTGTGGGTTGTTCCCTTGGAACTTGAGTCTGTGTACAGCACAGCGCGCACACACACAGACACGCACACACACACACTCACAACGTGGCCTGTGTGCAGCTGTAACAGAAAGGACCAGGGCAATCACACACAGCCACAGAACCTCCTGGACCTTAAGGAATTCAGTGTGAACGTATCCTGGAGTTGCGCCCTGTGGCACACTGGGCCCCAGTACTCGATGAGCCTCGCTTTTCCGCTTTTCCTGGGGGCAGTGTTGCCTGGGGTTTGAGGCTGGGGCTGCTGTTTGCATCTAGTGTGTGTAAATCTGCCCTTTGATCCTACTCTGAAACCAGCATCATTTCATGATTATGTTTTAGTGACGCACTCTCTCCTGGTTTTCCTTTGATCTTTCTGGGTAGCTCCTTTGTGGTCCTCTGTGTTTTTTGTATGTTTGTTGGTCCGATGAGCACTGGATTTTTCTTTTCTTGTCTATGCAGTCTGTGCCCTTTTGGGTGATCTCAGTCATTCTGGAGGCTTCATTGCTACCCTTATACTGGGGACTCCTAAGTCTTTACCTCCAACTGAGGCGCTGTTTTGAGCTCCGTCCATGCCCATCCAGCTGCCTATTGACATCAAATAGACACCCCAGACTCAGCCCCCATAGCACTCCTTACCTCCCATATCATGGCATTCTTCAGCACCATTGTAATTTCTTATTATTTGTTTGTCTCTCTCATCCAGTGTACAGTAAGTCCCAGGAGAGCAAAAGCCTTGCCAATCGTGTTCTGCGTTACTCCTACTATTTCACACCGCGCCTGGTTATTGTTCACCCTTAGGAAGTATTTGAATAAGATTTTAAAATATATATATATTTTAAACCAATTGTACTGTTTACTTGTAAGCATATGTATTACCATTATACAATTCCATCAATAATCTTGTTAGCTTTATATCACAGGGCTATGATCACCATCATTTTGTGGCATGGTCTGTTGAAAAATTTTTTTCACCATCTGTACAAGTGGGGCATTTGCCCTCATCCCTCCTGTGCTTCCTTGTGCTGGAAGCTTTTGCGCTTAATCCCTCTCCTTTTGTGACCCTTATGACAAATTAAAGGGACATTTCCATCAGCCCCACCATGTATTTCCAGGAACTGAGGTCACAGAAATGAAGGAGTGTGACATCTTTCCATGCCTGTAGCTCAGTCCACGGGCAGCTTTTCCAGGACGTATTCCAGTTTCCTTTGGTACCTCTCCTGTTAAACCAAGCCCAGTTTCATGTGGATTCGTGACTAATGCACACTGTTTTTCTTGTCAGAACATGAAGAGGAACTGGACCAAGAATTTGACCTGGACACTGACACTTTATTTGGAGGATTAAAGAAGGTACAGAGTGGGTCAGTGATAAACCTTTTCAATTTTCAAACCTGGTTTCAGTGTTTTGCATCACTTTTGTATTTGGCGTTGACCCAGCCATAGTACTCAGCAACGACTGGACATTAAGTACCTTTCCTGCTGTAAAAGATGCAAGTGTGCCGTGTAGAGAAAGGCATTCCCCGTGCTTTGTCTTTATCTCATCCCATGTTCCCCTCTCAAAATACTAGAGATGTGGATCAGTAACCTTATCGGTTCATGCAGATTTCACTTTTGTAAAGTTTAGGAAGTTCCTTCCTGACCTAGCCATAGCTATTGGAGTCAAATGTGGCTCCTGGACTCCCTATACCAACTCATGGCAACTATGGAACTGTTTCCTTCCTGCCTCTACTGCCCCTGGCCGTCCACACCCTGCAGAGCATGCTGGGAATCCCCCGCCCCTCTGCTCCCTGGTTCCGGGTGGCAGTGGGCCATTTATCCTCCACTGCAGCTCATTGTGCCTGCTTAGATCGCTGGCAGGGTGGCCGCTGTTGCTCTCCTAGTGGTGACGGTTAGCACTTCTGTTCTTCAGAGTATGTCATGGGTAGGTACCAGACCCTCCTCTTTTGACTGCAAGATGTTAGACTACTTTCTGTGTCCCACCAGAACCCCTTTCCTCTTGAGTTTGGAGTTTTTCTCATTCTTCCCCTTTCAGTTTTCCAGGACCCCATTTCAGTAATGACTTGGATCACATGACGTCCAGCTTCAGCTCATAGTTTGGGTTCAGGTCAACCCTAGTGAGGAGCTGTGTATTTGTTTTTCCAGGCATTTGGATATGTTTAAAAAAATGATATCACACCATTGCTTTTTACTATTTTTGCTCTAAGTGTGTAGTGTGCCAGGTATATTGTAAGTTTAATCAGCTTTTGTTGGTTGGCTTGGGGCATAGAATGATGCTGGCACTCCAGGTTCTGAGCACCTGACTTACAAATGAACTTTGGAAGACAATGAGTTTCCAAACTGGGTACTGCCTGTATTGATATCTTCCTACTTTGAGAGTTACAGATCTTACTTAGAATTGAAGAAAACTGGCTTCCATTTCCATTTGATTTTCTAGGGTAACTTGCCCCTTTTCTTCCAGCTCTGGCTCTGTACAGAGCCACCATATTAAATACATGGCTCATGTTTGTCTGGGGCTGGGAAGCATGTCCTGCCCCGCATGATGCTCTTCCCAGTTGTTCTGCCCACCAGACATTTCCGTGAAAAGTTGGATATAAATTTAATTTTCGTACATCGAATCCATTTGTAAATGTTTCTGATTTAAATAAGCCCTTTTTAGGATTATTAGTAAGACGTGTAATGTGGGTGGTATTGTGCCCACTTCAGAGATGAGGAAATTTGGGAAGCTTTATGTCACAGTGGAATTTGAGTTGTCACAGTGTTATAGAACTCAGGTTTAGCTGCTCATCGCTCAGGAATCCAATACTGAGAGATAAGTGTTGGGTAAAAGGAAAGGTAGCTTTATTGAGGTAGCTGTCAATCCTGGCGAGAAGGTGGACTCATGTCCCAAAGAACCAACTCCCCAAGTTTTGTTCAGAAATTATATAGGGAAAAGAGGAAGGGGCTATGTGTTGAGGAGAGGGTTGCAAGGTGCATGATCAGCTCATGGACATTCTTGGTTGGTGGTGAGGCAACCAGGAGTCAACATCATCAACCTTCTGGTTCTGATTGGTCTGGGGTCTACGTGCTTGTGGGCAGCATATAGTTAACTTCTTCCACCTGGTGGGGGTTTCAGTATCTGCAAAACAGCTCAAAGGATATGGCTCAGAATATATCTATAGCCCCTGAGGAGAAACTAAAGGTCCTTGACTTTGTTTAATGGCTAAACTATTATTGTTTTGCCTTGTTTGGCTTTTTCCTTTGTTTTTGCATTTTCTCACTTCTCTGATTAAACTTACTCTTTGATTACGTTTTTCTGCAGACGAGACAGGCGGAGGACAGTGGGCAGGGGGGTTTGTCCTGGGAAGGCCCCACTGGGTCCTGCTCTGGTTACAACAGCAGATAGCCCTTGTGAGTGTCTGGGATCTACTCTTTAGAAATATACTGCTATTGGATCTCTTACAACAGAAAAAAAATGGTGATTTAAAAAAAATTTTAGAGTCATAATTCAGGCATTTCAGATAATACTGAAATGTTTGCCAGAGGCAAAAATAAGCAAACTCATTTTAGACTAAGAGACTTTTCGCTGAAGAGAAGCAACTGTGAGGCAGTATGAGAAGCTGAACGAGGATCAGGCCCTGACAGGTTTGGAGCTCCCATGTATTTCATTGTTGCACGCTCAGCCCTGCTGGGTGTTGCTACTTCTAGACAAAGGGGCTTTGTCTTCGCTGACTTCCCAGCTCCCACCACTCCATCACGTTCAGCTGCTTGACTCCCTGCCAAGGCTTCAGAATCCTGGGGACATGACCTCTTCTGTGCATTCTCCATGACAGCCCCCTGTGGTGATGGGCACAGGCAGTGGATATCAACGTTTAGGTCGACCCTGCCTTTGTGGAACAGTGCACAAGGCTCAGATAAAAGCTCCAAGGACTTTTTCTATTCTGAAAAATCTCTGTTCCTCTGTCCTGCTGACCATCCTTCCATCCATTCATCTGATGGTGTTGAGCGCCTCTTGTCCTCATCTTTCTGTATCTCATTACCCTGCATAGGGGATGAGTAGTTTGGAGTCCTAGAATTTAGAGGGAAAATGATGAGCCAGGGTGGATAGCCAACAGATGAAGGAAATTGATTCTGTGTCCTTGGTGAAGATCATAAAATAGACCCGGGGCCATATGTAGTGACAGGAGGTTCATGGATGTCTGCTGAAAGTCTTATTTCAGCTAAAACAGAAGCCTAATATGTTCTGAGTATTTCCTTTGGAGGTTATGGGAGGTGGCAAGCAAACGCTATTCTGGTCTAAATTCTAATCAAAAGGTGAAATTAGGCATGAGTAGAAATTGTGAACTTTAGAAGGAAGCTTTTATGTCCTCTGACCAGTCTTTAAATGTCGCTAAACCTCAGCACTGCTGACCTCCTTTGTTTGGGGGCCTGTTCTGTACATTGTAGGGTGTTTAGCAGCATCCCTGGACTCCACCTCGTAGATGCCAGTAGCACCAAGTCATGACAGTCACGAATGTCTCCAGGAGTCACCACATGCCCCCTAAGGACAAAACCGCCTCTCTTTGAGAACAGCTGGCCTGCAGTCATATTTAAGGGCTTTGTCATGCTGACTTGGCCATTTCTTACCTTTGCTCATCCTGTTTCCTCCTCTGGATTGTGCTCCACCTCTTCCCTATCTGGTCCTCGCTCACACTTCACATCTGAGCCCAGGTGTCTCCTGTCACGGAAGCATTGCGTGGACCTTTAACTTGGACTTTTTAATGCGCATAGTTCCTGACACTTCTCTGCTTCTCTTTTTATCTCCTTCCACAAATACAGCTTTTAACGCATGTGTTTCTGTGCCCAAGTCCATGTGGAGTGCTAGGGACATAGTAGTGAACCAGACAGACACACTTCCTGTCCCAGTGTCTCCTAGTGGGGACAGACCAACAGTAAGTAAATGAATAAACGTTAACAGCCACAGATTGAGCTAAATGATCTGAAGGAGATGAACAGGGTGATGTGTAGTCATGCTTTGGACTGAATCTTGTACCCTATTATGATAAATATATTTGTACAGTGTTATCTTGTAGCATCCGTCCTCCACCAGACTGTGAATCTCACAGGGGCAGGGCTGGGATTTAATGAGTCCTGTATCTTCAGTGCCTGGGACAGAGTAGGTGAGTATTTTGCTGAATTTAACTGCAGGAAAGAGTGAGTAACACTGTGCCAGTTGGCAACATTGGCGTAAAATGCATCAGTCCTAAGTTCACCTTGATTGGCATGTACGTGAATGCCGAGTGGGACAGTGTTGACAGTCAGAGCAGGGAGAGACCACCGTGGGCACAAGCAATCCCACACTGCTTCTGGGGGCAGACCTTCAGCTGCGCTCCACAGAATGGGTGGGATTTGGCAAGGTCATCTGTAGAGAAGACGCTCTTCCAGAGGGGCTCAGTGTGGTTGGAAAAGAGACGAATGTATCAGGGTGATGGTGACTCAAGGGGAAGCTTCCCTTAGGACAGTGAAAGGTTGCTGGGTCTGACCACAGTCCTCCGGTTGCCGGTGATGGTAGGGAGGATTATAGCCCAAATCAGGAATACCTTTGGGTCTTATCATTCCTTTGGTGTAAAGCTGCTTGTTTCTGCCGAGACGCCAGTTGTGGTGGGGGAGATTGCGTAGGTGTAGCTCTCAAGGAGTGTTCGGGTTAGATATGCTGTGACGTTTGCATCCTGTTTCGTGATGTCTCTTTTTCCAGGCTTGAAAGTGCCTCCCCGCGTGGGCTCCAGTGGCCTTTTGGAGCAGTCCTGCGCTGGGAACCTGTGTGTGGCCACGGACAGGTCGAGCCCGATGCCTTTCCAGTTCTGGCCATCTGTCTCGGTGTTTGGTGGTTCCCTTTTGTCTTGCCTAGTGTTCTTGCTAGATGTCCCAAGAACATGAAGGAAACTTTTTAGTGGCCATGTTCCTTGCTTGATATTTCTAGATAGTAGGTTCTGAATCAAACTGACATGAATGAAGCTCCATGTTGGGTTGTATTATCATGAATTTGTTTTCCTTTTATTTCTTTTTTTTTTTTGCGGTACGCGGGCCTCTCACTGTTGTGGCCTCTCCCGTTGCGGAGCACAGGCTCCGGACGCGCAGGCTCAGCGGCCATGGCTCACAGGCCCAGCCGCTCTGCGGCATGTGGGATCTTCCCAGACAGGGGCACGAACCCGTGTCCCCTGCATCGGCAGGCGGACTCTCAACCACTGCGCCACCAGGGAAGCCCCTATTTTTATTTATGATTCAAGATAGTTGTTATAATGGAAAGAGCACAGGTGTGGAGTTGGATGGACTTGAGTTCAAAATGCAGTTTGCTCCATTTTGGAAAATCATTCACCTCATTTGAGCCTTAGTTT